TCCTGCTGATTTAAGACTAATTAGGTGCATGAACAGCTGGACTAATTCAACCTCGTTTCCCATACTTCATAGCTGGATTCCTTCATGTACATAAGAAGCAAAATCCAAGTGAAACCTCTGCATCCACTCTTTTCTCTTGCGGACCCTGGTGCCCAGCACACAGGTGGAGTCATGCTGCAGCCTGGTGCCCCAGGGAAGGTGCTGCTGGGGCCTCTGAGCCACCAGCCCTGTCTTTGCTTGGGAAATCTGCAGGAACTTAACACCTTGGAGTAGGCTGTCCCTCTGCCACACCTCACCAAAGGTGCAGTTTGGTAGGGGCCAGACAACACAAGCATGTGCACAACGCACCCCTGAGCGCTGGAGGAACCGATGCCCTCAGGAAAGGGGAGCAGGTCATGGCTCAGCCCCTCTCGCACCTGCTGACTCACCCGCGCTCATCAGCGGTGGGAGGACACTGGTGTTACAGGACAGCCCAAACGCAGTGCCTGGATGTTCTTCTGAGAGCATGAGCACACTCAAAGGGGTTTCAGAAATCTGTCACCTAATCTGTGCCCGGGAAGGAAAACATCATCAGTCTTATCTAACAGAAGAGAGAACAACACAGGGAAAATAAATACTGTAAAGATGTAGGAGACTGTGGCAGAGGTGTAATGAGAACCCAGGTAGATTCACTCCTGTATTCCCTCTGGAAGACACCTCCCCACGCCAGTCCCTGAGAGCTTATCTGATTTTTAGTTGCTAAAACACACTGTATACAACTGCAAATACCCGTAACCCCTTCCTGACATCACTCCGCCAGAAGTGATATAGATAATATCTGCCCATTCAGGTGGGACATCAGGCAAATTGTACTAGCGCAGGGCCTGGAGAAGGTTGCTGTGCCACTGGAAGAAGCCAGGCATGTCATGAAACCCTCCCTGAAAGGCCAGGCTGTGTGTTGCTGCTGTCAATACTGGATATGATTTTTCCATGTGTTCTCCTTCAGGGATTGTCCTGGTTTCAGCCAGGGTAGAGTTAGTTTTCTTCACAGAAGCTAGTGTGAGGCTATGTTTTGGATCTGAGATGAGAAAGTGTTGATAGCAACAACTTAAAACATCAGCACATTAAGTAGTCAAGGACAGTCCAGCTTCTCATGCTGGTCTGCTAACAAGAAGGCTGAGGGTGCACAGGAAGTTGGGAGGGGACACAGCCAGGACAGCTGACCCAGGCTGGCCAAAGGGATATTCCATACCATATGACGTCATGCTCTGTATATAAAGCTGGGACGAAGAAGGAGGAGGTGGAGGGACATTCGGAGTTATGGTGTCTGTCTTCCTAAGAAACCATTACGCACGATGGAGCCCTGCTTCCCCAGAGATGGCTGAACACCCGCCTGCCGATGGGGAGTAGTGAATGAATTCCTTCTTTTGTTCTGCTTGTGTGTGCAGCTTTTGCTTTACCTATTAAACTGTCTTTA